TAGTATATATGCATGTGCATGTGTATTTGTGTGTGTGTGTACAGAAACTGCCCGAATCCCAAGTGTACACTTGATAAATTTTCACAAAGTGAATTCAGCCACATAACTGAAGTACTGGGACCTTGAGTTCAGGCTAGCTAAAGAATACTCATATTCTTTAAATTTCTTAAACAAAATATATGAAACATATCTTATTTAACCTATTTTTTAAAAATATGTTTTTATTGATTTTAGAGAGTAGAGATAGAAACATCGATGAGAGAGAAACATCGATTGGCTGCCTCCTACATGCCCCCCTACAGGGGATCAAGCCCACAACCTGGGCATGTGACCTGAGCGGGAATTGAACGGGTGACTTCCTAATTCATGGGTCAACACTTAATGACTGAGCCATACCAGCCAGGCTATAAGCACTATCTTTAACAACACATATGAAGGTCTTCTAAATCAGGCTGGGGTATTTTGGAGAACTTCCTGGGGGTGACATTTGAGGTGAATCTATAAGATGAACAGGAGTTACCTAGGAAAGGAAGGAGGGTCAAGAAGAGGGAATAGGTTAATATGTTTGAGAAACTGCAAGTAGTGCAATCGGCGGTGATGAAGACTTTTTAACAGGGGCAGGTAGGACATGAGGCCAGAGGGGCAGGGCCCAAGTGCCAAAAGGCCTATTGTGCTAACCCTGAGAGATCCAAACTTTGTCCTGAAAATTTGTCAGGAGCCATGGAAGTCTTTTAGGCAGAAATGTGACATGATCAAATCTGCATTTTAGAACGACTGATCCAGAAACACAGAGGAAGAACTGATCATAGAGGGGACAAGGTGGAGATGGGGGAACATTGAAAAGACATTCAACAATCCAGGGAAGAAATGAGCTTGAATTCTCAGTGCAGTGGGAATAGAGATGGTATTTAAGAGATACTGTATTAAGGAAAAGTGGTGGAGGGAATAGTGCCATTCACACTATAATAGGGAAACATAAAAACCAAAATTCAGCCTGGATGGAGGAGAGGCAATGATACCTTTTGACATTTGGGGTTCGAGGTGTCTCTGGGACGCCCATGTAATATCTAGTAAGCTTTTGAATCTGTAAAGCTTGCAAGACATCTGGGTTGGAGATATAAGTTGGAATAACATCAGCTTACAGGTAGCAATTGAAGCCATGCGTGTGGGTGAAGTCACCCAGGAAAAGTGGGATCAGAAGACCTGGTGGGCCCCGGACAGAGCTCTGGGGAGCTCCAACTCCTAGCAGTGAAGGCTGGACTTGTGAACGTTCTCCTGGTAACGGTATGTAAACTGAAAAGGGGGTGAGGAAAGGGCCTGAAGATCACCAACTTTTAGGGGAGAAGGGAGGGGCAAAGGTGCCGGAGGAGAAACCAGAAGAGAGTGTCAAGTGGAAGGAAGTCAGTAGCGTCAAATGCTGCAGAGGTCATGGAAGATAAGGACAGGAAGCTCCATCCATTAGATCTGGCAACTAGGAGGTGTGGGCATGTTTCTCTGCCGGAGAGAAACCTCTTCGACTGAATTGCTGTTGGAATAGCCGACAGGAACAACAGTGCCCGCTGCTCTCATGCGCAGGCCACAGCCGCGCATGCGCACTCGTACTCACCGGAGGGCTAAGACTTGGCCGTGTGGGACCCCGCGCACGCGCCTTCTGAGCCCACCTACTCAGCTCGGGCCTCCGCGGGCCTGCAGAGGGCGCTGCGCCTCGGAGAGCCGGGGCGGGGTGCCGCTCTAGCCAGCGTCCGGGCTCGGTGGCGGGTGCCGCTGCTCCAAGTCCCCCAAGCGGCCTCCCGGCGCAGGTGGGTCCGCCCGCGGGGGGCGGGAGCGCCTGGGAGCTGTGGGGAGGGCGGGCGGCCGAGCCTCCCGGCGCGGAGTGGCTCCGATCGCCTCCATGCCTGGGTTCGGATCTAGCCCCGGGGGGAAGGGCTGTAGGCAGGGCCGCACCCGTGCAGGTCCCAGTCCGGTGGGCAACTCCTCCTGGACGTGCAATGGCCGTCCAGAACCCCTTACTTTACACCCCGGGGGGTCTCTGCCCAGGCCCGCGTGCGGCTTCCGGGAGACAACCGAGGGCGGGGCTCCCATGATTGACACTTCTTCCCCCAGGTTTCACAGGCGGCCACTGGACCCCTCCAGTCTTGAACCCTGAGCCCCTGAGCCGACACCATGGTGAGAACCCTGAGCCCAGCCGCTCACCTCAGCACGCCCATGCCTTTGCCCCTAGTGGCCTTGCCTCTCCGTTTCCCTGTGTCAACCTGGGGCTTGCAGTGGGTTTTCGCTGGCTCTGCCCCTGCAAGCCAGCCTGCTCCCTTACGACCCGCCCATCCCTGTAGCACGGGCGCCTGAAGGTGAGGGAACAGAAGCTGAAGCTCTACCGGTCGGCCACCCAGACCGTCTTCCAGAAGGTGGGGCCCGCAGAAGTAACCCTCTCTCCACGTGGCCACTCCTAGTATATAGATCAGAGGCCAAGAGCTGGGCCTCAGAATCAGACTGTCTGGACCTATATCTGGGCTCTGTCACTTAATACTGTGTGACCTTGGGCAAATTACCGAATCTCTTTGGGCCTCAGGTTTGTGCATCTGTAAAATGGGGCGCATGATTGTGATAAGCCTAATAATTGCAATAAGGCTTTTGTGGAAATTAAATGAGAATACATGTAAACCCATGGAGTGCTTTACATACTACCTGTTGTATGGCATGGGATTTATGGAACGTAGTTCTGTTTATGTTACTTAGCCCTGTGGTGGGTGAATGATACCATCTCTGACCCTGCTACCTATCTTCTCAGCGCCAGGCTGGCGAGCTGGATGAGTCAGTGCTGGAACTGACAAGCCAGATTCTGGGAGCCAACCCTGACTTCGCTACCCTCTGGAACTGTCGACGCGAGGTGTTCCAGCGGCTGGAGGCCCAAAAGTGTGTAGGGGTTCAGGGCCCCAGGAAGATGACACTAGCCCTACCCCTGCCCTGCCTGGGCCCAGCGGTAGAGTAGGAAGGGCATAACCAGAGGGCCGTGGAGGATGGGTGCAGAAAGTCAGGGGTGAGCTGAAGTTGGGTGTTGGAGGGCCCTGATCCCTATTCCTCTCTGGGCGCAGGTCCCCTGAGGAGTTGGCTGCTCTGGTGAAGGCAGAACTGGGCTTCCTGGAGAGCTGCCTGAGGGTGAACCCCAAGTCCTATGGTACCTGGCACCATCGCTGCTGGCTGCTGAGCCGCCTGCCAGAGCCCAACTGGGCGCGGGAGCTGGAGTTGTGTGCCCGCTTCCTCGAGGTTGATGAACGGAACTGTACGTGCCTGCAGATTCTGTCCCCACAGCCCTCACCTGCCCCACATCCTGGTACTGGGGCCACAGTAAGGCCCAGAGTGGGGAGGGATGACCAGGATGGGCCCACTAAGCTGATGGCAAAGGAATGATGGAGCCAAACAGCATGGGATGCATAGAGGTCTTTCTTGGGAGCTTCAGAGGCACGAGCCAGGGAGCTCCTCTTGCCCTGATTCTGAGCTGTGCTGTCACCCCTTCCCCCAGTTCATTGCTGGGACTACCGGCGTTTTGTGGCTGCACAGGCAGCTGTGCCCCCTGCAGAGGAGCTGGCCTTCACTGACAGCCTCATTGTTCGAAACTTCTCCAACTACTCTTCCTGGCATTACCGCTCCTGCCTCTTGCCCCAGCTTCATCCCCAGCCAGACTCTGGACCACAGGGGCGCCTCCCTGAGGATGTGTTGCTCAAAGGTAAGCAGGGTCAGGGATGCTGGGGAGGAACTGCAGCGCTGCCCTTCCAGCCTAGTCCTGTTCCTGAACCTGCTCTTGGGCTTGTTGAGCATCTACTTTGTGCTTGGCTCTGGGGGTGCATAACATTCAGCCCCTGACAGAAGGGAGCTTGAGTGTCCAGTGGGGAAAATAAACCTGATGTGTACAGCCACTGTATAAAGCCAGCATCTAGTGCAACTGAGGACTGGGGGTACCCCAAGGAGAGGGTGGGATGCTGGGACAGCCAGGATCCCACCAGGCTTCTAACCACAGCCCTGTGCCTCCTTGGCTTCTGCAGAGCTGGAGCTGGTGCAGAATGCCTTCTTCACCGACCCCAATGATCAGAGCGCCTGGTTCTATCACCGCTGGCTCCTGGGACGAGGTGAGCGGTGGGGGAGGAGGCTGGGCGTTTAGGGCTTGGAAGGAATGGAAGAGGCTTACAGGAGACCCGAAGCTATCTCTCCACCCCAGCTGACCCCCAGGATGCTCTGCGCTGCCTGCACGTGAGCCGGGATGAGGCCTGCCTGACGGTCTCCTTCTCCCGGCCCCTCTTGGTGAGTCCTACAGCTTTTGCCAGAGAACATTGTGGATTGTGAGCTTCGTGCTGTTGGGCTGACAGGGTCTTTCTTTGTCCCCTGTACCAGGTGGACTCTGGGATGGAGACCTTGCTGCTCTTAGTTGATGAATCACCCCTGGCTGTGGAGTGGAGGACTCCAGATGGCAGGAACCGGCCCAGCCCTGTCTGGGTATCCCAGGATTGGTGGGGCATAGTGGGGGCTGAGGCAGGGCTGGGGTGGGACAGTCAGAAAAGTGGTACGGCTGGGGGTTTCCTTGACCCAGTGCTCCCAGCTCTGTGACCTGCCCGCTGCCTCCCTCAACGACCAGCTGCCCCAACATACATTTCGTGTCATTTGGACAGCAGGCGATGTCCAGAAGGAGTGTGTGCTCTTAAAAGGTGACGCAACCTGCAGCAGCCCCCTGCCCCCTCTTCCTCTCATGGGTGTTCCCCTCCTACCACCTACTGTTTCTTTCAGGCCACCATGAGGGCTGGTGCCGGGACTCGGCCACCGATGAGCAGCTCTTCAGGTGATGACAGGGAAGCACGCCTACAAGAAAGGGCTCTGGGCATCAGGCAACTGGGATGGGAGGCAGGGTGCTCGGGCAGATGGTCTCAGCCTGGAGAGGGGATGGCCCAGACCCCAGTGCTATGGCCATCATCCCTTCCCCACCTCCACCCCCGCCCACCGTCAGGTGTGAGCTGTCAATAGAGAAGTCCACGGTGCTACAGTCTGAGCTTAAATCCTGTAAGGAGTTACAGGAGCTGGAGCCCGAGAATAAATGTAAGGCCCTGTTTCCTGAGATCCTGCTCCTCTCAGGGAGCTCCTTTTTGTGTCTGTTGGGGGGACAGGGAGCGGGGAGGGTCTCAGTAGTTTGGGAGCAGCCCTGACTGGTTTGGCTCAGTAAATAGAGCACTGGCCTGCGGGCTGAAGGGTCCCAGGTTCGATTCCAGTCAAGGGCATGTACCTTGATTGCGGGCGCGTCCCTAGTGGGGAGTGTGCAGGAAGCAGCTGATCGATGTTTCTAACTTTCTATCCCTCTCCCTTCCTCTCAGTAAAAAATCAATAAAATATATTTTAAAAAAAATAGTATGGGAGCAAAGGCGGGTCCAGGAGACATGCTCCTTTTCCCACCCTCTCCTCAGGGTGCCTGCTCACCATCATCCTGCTGATGCGGGCGCTGGACCCCCTCCTGTATGAGAAGGAGACACTGCAGTACTTCCAGACCCTCAAGGCAAGCCGGGCCTGCGGGAACAGACACGGGGGAGGTCCCGTGGGCAGGAGGGAGGCAGCTGACACAAATTCCTTGCCGGCCCCGTCTCCGCCAGGCTGTGGACCCAATGCGGGCAGCATACCTGGACGACCTGCGCAGCAAGTTCTTGCTGGAGAACAGCGTGCTCAAGATGGAGTATGCAGAGGTGCGCGTGCTGCACCTGAGCCACAAGGTATGGACTGTCGTGTGCCCGCTCTGGGCCCTCATCCCGCTGGCCCACCCTTCCTCATGGCCTCGCCAGCGTTCCATTCATTCCGGGGCTTCAGCTGAGGCCCTGTCTGTCCGGCCTTCAGTCTCAGATGTCTTTCTGGACATTTCTTTCTCTGCTCATTGGAGCATGCCAGCACCTAAAGCCTGAACAGTTCCCAGAGATTCCTAACTAACGGTCCAGACTGGTTTTCCTCCATTTGAAGTCCTTCCCAACCAATCTTCCCAACACATCAGTTTTATCCCGTCACTGCAGTCCACCTCTGCTCCCACCAAACCCACCCCCACCCCCTGGACTCGCAGGCCCACTCCTGCCAGTGTCTGTGTCTTCCCCAGCGCCCTCCTCTGTCCCCTGTACCTGCCCCGACTCTATTCACTCCACTGGCCACGTCGCCCACAGCACTCACATCTGTCCCACGTCCTTGACTTGTAGCATGTACTGTGGTGGGTTGTAAGGTAAGCTTCCCACCTGCCCCATCCTCTCCTCAGGGCCTGTGTGGGGCACAGAGGGCAAGTGCCTCATAAATGATGGCTGAGGCCCCTCCCCGTTGGGTATATCATTCCGTCTCCTCAGGACCTGACGGTGCTCTGCCATCTGGAACAACTGCTGTTGATCACTCATCTTGACCTGTCGCACAATCGTCTCCGAGCCTTGCCCCCTGCCCTGGCTGCCCTGCGTTGTCTTGAGGTAAAGCATTCACTCCTCCGTCACTGTCCTAGTGGTCCTGTTTCCCTTCCTTCCTCTACTTCAGAAGACTGCCCGCCCTACAAAGACTGCCCAGTCCTCCCAGCCCCTGCAGATGACCCCTGCCTTCCCCCTTCTGTCACCTAGCCTGACCCTAGGAGCTCTTCCATGCACTGTGAGCTGTTCACCCTGGGCTCCCCAGTTGCTTGTATCAGTCTCAGGCCGATAGCTGCCTGCCTGCCTTGTCTTCCGTACCCTCCCTGCTCCTCAGGTGCTGCAAGCCAGCGATAATGCCATAGAGTCCCTGGACGGTGTCACTAACCTGCCCCGGCTGCAGGAGCTCTTACTGTGCACCAACCGTATCCTTCCTTCCAGGTGCCATTTATTTATTTATAGTATGATTTTTAACAAAGCATTTTTTTATCCTCACTGCACTTTCACTCGGCAGTCTTGGTTCACTGCTGACACATGGATGCCGCTAGCCAGGGCTAGCCTTCTCGTTGGCCACAGTCTCCACCATTCCTTCTACTGCCACACCCAGCCCTCCTCTGTGCTTCTTGCCTGGTCCCTGTGGGCAGGTGTTTGCAGCCCCTGCCCAGAGCCTTGCTCCCTCCAGGGAAGTGTGTGAGATGCCCACCAACCAGGATGGCAGGCAGCAGTCCCCGCTCTGAGGGAAAACAGTGATGGGTTCACAGGAGCAGACCAGATCTGGGGGAACTTGCCAACCTTTCCTTGACTCTCCTGCCCAAGGTCTCCAGCAGCCTGCAGCACTTCAGCCTGTTGCCTCCTGCCCCAAGCTGGTGCTCCTCAACCTGCAGGGCAACCCACTGTGCCAAACAGCGGGCACCTTGGAGCACCTGGCCGAGCTGCTACCTTCAGTCAGCAGCATCCTCACCTAAGAGACCCTGCCCCCGTCCTCGCCCTCTAACTTATTAGGACTGAATAAAGAATGGAGAGGCGTCTCAGGCTGCTGAGCTGCTGCCGCCGCCACCGCGGCCACCACCATTACTGCCACCTTTCTGGAAAAGAAAGGGAGAGAGTTAGGGTGTGTTGACTCACCCCGTTTATTTTATGCTCGGTCCTGCTATTTCCTGTCATGGAGAATCAGAGCCTCCGTGTTTAGGCAAAATCAGGGTGAGGGCTGGACTTGAATTTACGTTCTGGTTGGGGCTGGAGCTGGGGCTGGAGCTGGGGCTGGGTTCCAGGCTGGGACCAGGTTTAGGATCAGGTTCTGATTGGTGTTAGGCTACAAACCAGCTCTAAGTCTCCAAATGGAAGGACTCATAAAAGTCCCTTCCATGACCTGCCCCTCCCAGACGCGCTCTGCCCAGGGGCTCTGGCTCTCATTCACCACAGCTGAGAAGGCTGTTTCCCAGAGGAGTGGGTCAGAGCGGCCTTGCTCCACCCTCTTAGAACAACAGTACCCGTCTCCATTCTTTGGTTGAAGAGCCACTGAAAATACTTGATCCCATTTGATCTTCATAAGCTCTCAGAATGAGATGATTAGGCCCATTGGACTGGCGAGGAAACTGCTGTTAAGAAGTGCCCATGATTGCTGAGCTCAAGTGCTAGAGCAGCGATTCTCAATCTGTGGGTCGCGACCCCTTTGGGGGTCGAACGACCCTTTCACAGGGGTCGCCTATATACATCCTGCATATTAGATATTTACATTACGATTCATAACAGTAGCAAAATTACAGTTACGTAGTAGCAACGAAAATAATTTTATGGTTGGGGGTCACCACAACATGAAGACTGTATTAAAGGGTCATGGTATTAGGAAGGTTGAGAACCACTGTGCTACAGCCAAAGCTGCCTGTACACCTTGCTCTGGGATTCCAGACTCTTGCTTCTGTATGGATGTGGATATGGTACTGAGCCCAGTGTCTGCTCCCATGGTGACCCCCAATACACAGGCCCATGCACACATGTACCTTTGTGCATTTACACTCTCACACACACACCTTGTCCTGACTGAAATCCCTGAGACACTTGAGCTTCCTGGAGGGAGGAAAAGGAGTGGCTTGGGTTAGGGCACTGAGTCAACCTGGCTGGGTGGGGAAAGAGAAAAATTGATTGAAACAAGAGGGAGAGAGTGTGACACGACAATTTCCTGATTCCCTGGAAATCTGTCTGGGCCCACATTTGCTCACATCCTGCCCTCAGGGTCCTGCCCCTTTCCTTACCTATAGTGATGAACAAATAGCCCCTGGACAAAGTCCTTTGACTGACCTGCCTCACATCTGCCTGGGATTTTGATTCCCCTGGTGGTTTGTCTGAAAGTGTTGGAGGTGGGACAGACTCCCTGCAGGGCTGGGGCTTGCCGGTGGATTGAATAAGGTCAGCTCCAGTGTGGAGAGCTCCCTGCCTCTGTCCCCAATCCCTGAGGCACCTCCCTGCCTGATGCATCATCAAACTGTCTCTCCTCGATTGACTTCCTTGTGTCTTCTTGCCAACCCTGTTTTCACTGTCTTCTGTTCAGTGGCCGGTGGGCAGAGCTAGGAAACAGGTGGGATGGAGGGAAGAGGCCCCAAGAAAGGAGCCCAACCTGCAGAACCTCCAAGAAAGCCTCCCTAAAGACACCTGGCCGCCTCTACTGGGTGTCTCCCCTGTGCCAGGGTGGAGTTGGGATGGACACGGGGCAGGTTCCTAGAGCTGGTTGGTCAGGATTCCCAGGAAGAATTCAGGGTTGGAGAACCCAGGACTCCAGCTGACCAGACACTCCTCTCAGTGAGAGAGGGAGGTATTCTGCCGCCTGAGGAGGGGGCCTCAGTTCTCACCCAAACCTCAGAGTTAGGCCTCCGCTTCTCCCAAACCCCCAGGCTGAGGGGAGAAAACTACTCTGACCACCCTCCAATCCCAACCTTGGAGAGAGAGACACAGGAAGCTGGTAGCTGCCCACTCATGCCAGGGGCCGTGGAGGAAGAGGGTGGGGGTCAGAGGATCTGGTGGAGCCTGCAGGTCATGGATTGGCTGGTGGAGCCAGTCTGAGGGCCGGGTTGCTGATGTCACCTTGGGATTCAGGGACCTCCCTGGGCAGGATGCATACCAGGACCAGGCCAGTTTCATAGGGGCTATGAGACCACCGGCAGGCAGCCTGAGCTGGACAACAGGGGGTCAGCTGGACAGGGGTGTGGGTGAAAGGGCTGGCTCCCTGCCCCATTGCCCTCGGAGGGGCTCCTTAAGCTCGCAGTCTGGCAGGAGTCAGCCTGGAGTGAGGGTCCCCCCAAAGCCTTCCACTTTCCCCCAGCTTCAGCCCTGACAGACCCCGACCCCAGCCCTCCCTGGCCCCACCCTGAGCCTGCACCACCCCGTTTCCCCCGAGGTTTTGACGGGGCTTTACTTCTCACCCTTACCTCCGGAGGGGCTGGGCCTCGATGGAGCAACCAAGCTTCCCCTTA